TTCATCTGTTCCTCCATCCACCCACCCGTCTACCTGTCCACCCAATGACCTGTGCATCCAGCGCTCACTGTGTCAGTCAGAGGCATGTTGACACAGCCGTGGGCACGCGGTGCCCTTTCAGGACTGTGACCACTATCATCGTCATGGTAACGCTTCGTTTAGTTGCCCTTAGGCACAGGCCTGGGCCAAGGTCTGGCCGTGCATCAGCTCGCTGAACATGGCCCCACTGTATAGAGGGAGATATAGAGGCTACCCATCTTACAGGATGCTCCGAGGCTTGCAAAAGCTACTGCACACAGAGCGCCCAGGGGCCCAGGGCCTGCCAGTCCCTAGGCCTGTGGCAGGGCTGCCCACATGTGGCTGCTGCTGTTCCTGCTGTTGCAGGCGCTTCAGTGAGGGCGATTCTGTGGTGCGGTTTTTACAGGTTTCCCGTGTGGCTTGTGTCCTGTTGGGCTTGAAGCTCCTGAGGGCAAGGCGTGAGGGTCCCCGAATCTGCCTCTGGTGCCAGCAGGGGGAGTCTGAGCTCTCTGGCCCTCTGCCTCACACCCCCACTTCCCCTCCCTGCTCTCCCTCAGCCTCTGGTGGTGGCCTGGGGGGGCTCACAGAGGCGCCTGGCACAGAACCCAACACTGTCCTGGTTGCAGGCTCAGCTGGCGTCCTCCAGGCCCTGTTTCTTCCTCTGCCACGTGGGGCCACATCTCAGGACTCTTGCACATGTTCGGCAGGCTCGAGATATGGAGACCCGGGTGGGGAGCTGGGCGTGGGCGAGGGGGCCAGGGCCCTTTCAGCTCACGCAAGAGAGCGCCTGAGCTGGCCGGGCAGAGGCCAGCCTGTGTGCACACAGCTGAGGACGTGGCTGGTGGGTCCGACACCCCTGTCCCCTGGGACGTGGCAGGGAGCCGGAGCATGATGTCACCGCCGGCCTCCCACGCCCAGCCTGTGCTCGGAGGAGGTCTGGCGCCTTGTCTCATCCCGAGCAGCGCTGCCCGGCCCTCTGCCCTCGCTGGGGGAGGGGAAGAGGCCCAGGCCAGGGCAGAGCCCAGGCCCGCAACCCCCCAGCGAGGCACCAGCGGGTGAGACCGGCCCCGCCAGGGGATTCTCACGTGTTTTCTGACAGCTGAGGTCACTCCAATAACTCAGGAAAGAGAATGTCCCCTCGAGAGCAGGGTCAGGCGGGGGGGGGGAGGGCGGGGGGCGGCAAGAGTGTCTGATGGGGGCCCCAGGGGCTCATCACAAGCTGTGAAGTTTCATTGAAGACTCTTATTTTATCTCAAAAATGTGTGTGAACTTTGGCTCTCATGCTCCAGCGATGCTTATTTTGAGATAAGAAAAGTCTTCTCCACCATCTTTGGGTAAACACGAGTGGCTGCGCGCCCCACCCTCCCCTGGAGGGCCCAGGCAGGCAGCTTTTCATGGGGTCTCGGGACCCGTCCAGCTCCTCCGTCCCGGGCCGCCAGGCCAGTGGCTCCGGCCCCTCGGACCCGGCCGGGCTCCCCACAGCCCGGAACAACACGCGGGCCTGAAGGAGGCGCTGGCCGTGCCTCGTGCCTCGTGCCCTCGCCCGCTCCCCGGCTCCACATGAGATCAGACTCATGGTTACCCCCATTTTGCACAGGCGGAAACTGAGGCCTGGAGGGGTGAAGCCACGTGCTCTTGGGACCACCCAGGCAGGGCCGGGGCAGGGGCCCCATCTCCACGCCGGTCCCCTGCGGGCCCGTGTCACTGGCGGTGAGGACGGGCGGCGGGCGTGGGGTTTCTGAGTGCGCCCCTTGTCTCCAGGCACCCCCCTCGTCAGCATGCCCCCCAGGATCCATGGCTACCTGCATCAGCCCCTGCAGGTCTCCTGCTCCGTGCACAGCGCCCTCCCCTTCCGGCTGCAGCTGCGGCGGGACGGAGCCCGGCTGGGCGAGGAGCGGCACCTCCAGTGAGTGGCCGCTGGCCGGCTCTGTCCCCAGCCCCGGCTCCCGGGGTCCCCATGCCCTGGGGGGGCCGCGAGGGGCCGTGGGAGAGGGAGCTTGGTCTCGGTCATATTGTCCTGTGGCACCTTGGTGTGGCCAAGAGCGGGGAGTCTGGACCATCAGCCGCAAAGGAGCCAAAGAAAACTCTGGAAAACTCAACCCTGGCAGGGCGGGCTCCGTGGATGCCCCCAGACCCTTCCTCTTACGAATGGAAGTCGAAGGCTCAGAGGGGGGCAGGGACTTGCTCAGTGTCACACAGCACTTCTCGCCAAGTGTCCCGTGGGCCGCCTGCTGGACAGGGTCCAGGGTCCTGGCCGGCGGCTGGACGAGGCTGGCCCCTGCTGGGCCTCTGTGACGGCGTGTCTCCCGCTGCTGTTGCAGGGGGTCGGGAAACAGCAGCTGGGAGATCCCGCGGGCCTCCAAGGCGGAGGAGGGCACGTACGTGTGCACAGCCGTCAGCCGCGCGGGCACCGGACACGCCACGGCCCAGATCGTCATCACCGGTCTGTCCCTCCTGCCCCGCACCCCCACCCTCCCGGGCTGTCTTCGGGCCAGGGGCGTCTCCCGTCGGGGAGCAGGCCAGGCGCCTGCGGCTGGGACCCCCGTCGGGACTCTGGCTGCCGGCACGCCACGGCTGCTGGGGCCCTCTGCAAGTGTCTCCCCCAGACATGGCCTGGGGGCCTCAGCTGGAGAAAGTGGAGGACCGGCTCAGGCCTGGCCCCCCAACCTGGCCCAGCCCACGCCGACCTCTCAGAGTGCTCCGGGCTTCGCCAGCACCCCCCACGCCCCTGCCCTGGGGCTTCGGGCCAGGGACCTTCTCACAGTGCTGGTCCTCGCCCGGATGCCTGTCCGTGCGGCTCAGCAACACCACGGGCGGCCTCCACGGGCAGCTGGCTCTGCTTGAAAATGCCAGCCCAGGTTGTCCTGAGGAGGACAAAGGAACCCAGCCTGCGGGGGAGATGGCCCGGCCCGGTGGCCTGCTCATGGTCACCCCAGGTCACACGTGGCCCCAGGGGAACACGGAAAATACACCCCAAGAGGCTGAGCTGGAAGCAGCCTGTCCCCCCTCCCGCCCCCCGAGAGGCCCGGTGGCATTTTGATTAATTCCCTTTCTGACCTTTATCTGGGTGCAGTTAACCCAAGCGGAGTAAGATGACAGGGGCTCCCGCCGCCCGGCTGTCGCTGGTCACGCTGCACGTCGCTGGCCCCGGGCGGGGGCTGCCTCGGCCTGGCGGCGAGCCCCGAAGCGCGAAGGGGGAGCTGCACCGGGGCCGCGACTCACAGTCGAGACTCTGTGTGTTTGCTTTTTCTCCTGTAAACGACCCCGCAGCCGCCCTGGCATTTCAGCGGGTGTCGCTTTTACAAAACAAGTCGGTTTTCCTGTTTGCCAAGAGTTAGGATCACACCTCGGGGCCCTGGTGCGGCTTCATCTTGTCCAGCTAAGTCCCCCCCTCTGCCCGAGCCTCACTTCCCACGGGTCCCCCCAGCGCTGCGGGGGGCTGGCGTCAGATCCTCCCAGTGCACACGTCCGGGCGTCAGTCACCAGCCCCTGCAGCCGGGGGACCCCCCCGTGCCCCCAGGCTCTCAGACCGCGTCCTGGTTAGTTGCTGGGATGTTACCCCGTGGGGACAGCAGCTTCCTGAGCTCCGTGGCTCGGGGGTCAGGTCCGTCTGGCTCTGTGGACACCCCGCTTTCCCCTTGAGCGGCTTCTGTGCCTTAGCTCCCCAGGGAGCGATGCCTGGCTCAGAGGGCACGTGAAGGGCCCCAGCCCCAGTGTGGAGCGTCTGGCTGTCGCTCTCCGCCCAGCAGCCTGGGCAGGGGTTGGGGGGGGACGCTCAGGGTGCCCTTGGGTGCTGGGCAGATGCTGCCTGGCTGCTCTGGGGCTGCGCCCGAGGGATACGAGGGCTCACGCCGCGATGCCAGGGCCCTCAGTGCCACCGTGTCCCTGCAGACCCCCCACCGCAGCTGGTGCCGGCCCCCAACGTGACCGTGTCCCCGGGGGAGACCGCCGTCCTGTCCTGCTGGGTCCTGGACGAGGCCCCCTACAACCTGACGTGGGTCCGGGACTGGCGAGTCCTGTCGGGCTCGGTGGGAAGAGTCACCCAGCTGGCCAACCTGTCCCTGGAGGTCAGCGGTGCGGTCCCCAGCGACGGCGGCCGCTACCAGTGCATGGCCAGCAACTCCAACGGGGCCAGCAAGGCGTCCGTCTGGCTTCGGGTGCGCGGTGAGTCTCTCCGGGCCGCTGCTCGGCCCCGGGGCAGCCCACGCTGGCCCGCCAGCCCGCCTGTGCCCAGCGCTCTGCCCGCCGTCAGCTGTGTCAGGCAAGGCTGGCTCTGGCGGTGACTCCTGAACCTCTGAGACGGGTCTGGCCGCCTCCTAACCTAAGTCTAGAGGCTGGAGGTTCATCCTCATCTCTGACCGAACTTGCTGCTGCTGGGGGCTCGGCCCGTTCGTCGCGTCTGGGCCTCTGAGCACTGACATCCTCCTCCCCAGTTGGTGGGACAGGGGCGGAAGTCTGGACGCTTCGGAAAGCCCAGAGATCAGAAGTGCTTGACAGCACCCGCCGGGTGGGGGAGGCAGGGCCTGTCTGGGTTTCGGCACCTGCGTGGCCCCGGCTCACTGGGGCCCGAGACAGCTCCCCTCCCTGGGGACCTCTCCTGAGGCCAGGCGCTGTCCGTCGGTGACTGGATGGCCGCCTGGGCTGTGCCAAGGGTTCCCAGGCCTCTGCGGCTCTGGCTCTGCCACGGCGTGGAAGGGGTGCTGGCCAGTTCTGGGAGAGATGGCCGTGGGGTCTGTTTGAGCCCCGCAAGTCTGGACTAGCACTTTTAGAGGCTAAGTCTGGAGTTAAAACTAGGCCACTGGGGTGTGCCCAGGGCCACTGGAGTTGAGAGCCACCCCGCCCTGGCATCTGCCCGACATTCCCCTAAACCCTCCGAGACCCTCAGCCACAGCAGAGCTCCAGGGACCTGGTGGGGATCCGGCGCCCGAGGGGCCGGGCAGCCAGCTGGTCGACCCCAGCCCGGCAACGCCACTCCGGGGCTCGGGCGCTCTGCACCTTGGTCTCCTGAGCTCTGCCGTCTGTGGCGGTGCGGGGGTGGCTCCGGCTGTGGCAGGGGTGTGAGGGGCAGCATGTCCACTCTGAGGGCTCTTCCTGCCTGTCCACCCCGGCTACAGAGGCCCCAAAGGTCAGCATCCACGCCAGGTCCCAGCGCTTCTCCCAGGGTGTGGAGATGAGGGTCAGCTGCTCGGCGTCCGGGTACCCTGCACCCCACCTTTCCTGGAGCCGTGAGGGTCGCGCCCTGCAAGAGGACAACAGGTGAGGGGTCCAGAGTGGGGACTCCGGCCCGGGACAGGTGGGCAGGGGCTGTGGAGGCCCTCACTAGCTCCCGAGGGAGACCCCTTTGGAGATGAATGAGGCCTCGTGCAGGTCGGGGGGTCAGGAGCTCCGGCTCCGCGTCCGACAGCCCTGCGCCCGCATCCCGCCCTTGTCTGGGCGGTGTGACCTCTGGGAAGTCGCTTTGCCTCTCTGAGTCCAGCACGTGAAAGTGCTGGGCACACAGCTGGCCCAGAGTGGTCCACGTCACGAGGTGTCCTGGCGATGTTTGTGAGCTCGTTGTTCACGATCACCGGGCATAGCAGAATGAGTGCCCGCCGGCCCCCACCGCTGTTGACCAGGCCGTTTCCTGGCACCACTCCAGGATCCATGTGGACGCCCAGGGGACCCTGATCATCCAGGAGGTGGCCCCAGAGGACGCCGGGAACTACAGCTGCCAGGCTGCTAATGAGCTTGGCACAGACGAGGAGACTGTCACCCTCTATTACTCAGGTATGGAGCCAGGGGGCCCCCACATGCCTCTGGTTTGTCCACAGGTATTTATGGGGCACTGTGCTAGACAGGCCCTGGGGCTCACAGTGGACTTGTGGTCACTGCAGGGAGGACTCTCTCTCTGGGGTGGGTGCTCATATCTATTAGGGAGGCCCGGGGCCAGCGGGTACACAACTCAGGCCACTCTGCCGAAGGCATGTGTGTGTTGTGTGTCTGTGTATGTGTGTACGTGTGTAGACGTGTGTACGTGTGTGCACGTGTGTGTGTGCACATAGCTTGGCGAGCAGGAGCGGACCAGGGCTGCCTGTAACACTCGGGACCAGCCCAGGGCTCGAGGAGGTGACCCTTGCCGGAGAGTGAGTGTGGACAGCACCCAGGCTGAGGGCGACGGCCAGGACAGCTTGCGCCTGGGGCCCTCCGGGGCCGCGGGGAGGCTGGAGTCCGGGGGTGGGGTGGGGTGGCCCTTCCAGGCTGTGGGAGCCCCGTCGGGTTTGGACTTCGGTTCTAGGGCGATGAGCCCTGAGGGCAGTCGGGGGCGGAGACGACCGGCCTCACCTGAAGTCCTGAGTGAGAGGCTTTAAAAAATGGCCTTGGCTGGGCCTTCCTGGGTGGCTGTCCTGATGGGTGGGGTCCCACCGCCCCCACCGCCCTCCCTCCAGGGGTCCGTGGGCAGACCCCGATTCCGGCCCTTGCCCCTTGCAGACCCGCCGAAGGTCTCTGCTGTGAACGCTGTGGTGCTGGCAGCCGTGGGGGAGGAGGCGGTGCTGGTGTGCGACGTGTCTGGGGCGCCCCCGCCCCGGGTCATCTGGTATCGAGGTACGTGGGGTGGGGGGGGGCTGCAGAATCAGTCCCTGGGGGGGCCCTGAGTGGGGTGTTGGGGAGGCCCACCCCCTCCTCAGTCCCAGCAGCCACGCAGCCGACCTGCGCGACTCAGTGGTGAGGAGGGTTGAGTGGGCCCAGGGTTGGGCTCTGCCCCCCGCACCTGCGACCTGAGGCCCCTGGCTGGGCGCTCTGAGCCTGCCTCTCGGGAGGGTGGGGCCAGGCGAAGGCGGGCCGGTCGTGAGGACGGACTGAGCGGCCCTGGTGGTGGGTGCAGCGATGGGGTATCTGAACCCTCAGAACTGTAGTAAGGTTGTTCCAGTAGCTGACATGGGGCTCCCCCCAAACCAGCTAGGGTCACCAGTCACATCCCTCCTTCCTAGACAGTCTCTTGATCAGCTGCCATTTCAGCTTCACCTTGACCTTGACCTCGAGACAGGCAAGGGGACCTCAGCCCAGTGGCGGCACTGGGTGCCCGCGGGTGGGGGAGGGGAGCCAGACACAGTAGCCACTGCAGGGGGCCCCCCCAATCCCCCCCACGCTCCCCCCCGCCCCAAGCCTCAGTCTGGACCTGGGCGGAGGATGGGACCCAGGCGGGAGGCCCAGGCCAGGCGTGGCTGGGCAGGCCGGGGCCTCGTCCCGGGTTCAGGGCCTTCCTGCAGGACCTGACCCAGGGGAGCAGACTTAAAAATACAGTGTGGGCCCTCCCTGGTGGCGCAGCGGCCTAAAGCACTGTCTAGAAGCTAAAGCCACTTCAGCGTGAGTTCGATCCAGCCCCGGGGGTGACCCACCTGGCGTGGCAGACCTCTCCTGACCCGCCCGCTGCTCCCCTCAGCAGTGGATTTCAGTAGATCTGCCTGTTCTGCTCCCCGCTCTGTCTCTGGTGCATCCTCTCACCCACCACACCTCTCGCCTGTACCCCAGTCCTGTATGCATACATAAATACATCTTTAAAAAAAACAGTTGTTAGTTGAGGCAAAATACACACATTGTAAACCTCGCCCTCTTCACCATTTCCAGCCCTGTTCAGGGGTTCAAGTCCATTCACTTTGTCATACAACCACCCCCACCCGCCACCCCCAGAACATGACATTAAACACCTGGCTGTGGCTCTGGGGGTGCCCTCCCAGGCCCAGCCTCGAGGGGTTCAGAGCCCTGGTCCTGGCCCAGGCTGGAGCGGCCCGGGACCGTGGCCTCCATGGTGACCGCTGCTGTTTCTCTCCTTGTCCAGGGGGTCTTGAGATGATTCTGGCCCCCGAGGACTCCGACTCGGGGACTCTGTGGATCCCGACCACCCGGGAGCGTGATGCCGGGGTCTACACTTGCCGGGCCGTCAACGAGCTGGGCGACGCCTCCGCGGAAATCCGGCTGGAGGTTGGACGTGAGTGTGCACCAGCCCCCGTGCCTGCTCCGGGCTGGGCTGGACGTCGTGTGCTGGAGCGGCGAGTTGGGAGGGCCTGGCCCTGGGGACCCGCCTGGGGACCCGCCTGAGGGTCGTGGCCCAGGCGTCGCTCATGGCATCCTCATTGCTCCAATGCGTGGGCTCCGGTGCCCGGCCCGGTGCTGTGTCGGGGCCAGAAACCTGTGTGCCGTTAGCTTCAGAGTAGGGGTCACCTACGTGGGGTACTGGAGAGGAGCAGGGCGGAGGCCGAGGGTCAGCGGGCTGCTTCAGGTTTCAGAGAGCCAGGAGGGGCGGGAGGCCCTGGCTGGGGTCACGCCCACTTGCCCCCAGTACCTGAGGGCAGAGGGGGAGCGGGACCTGGGCCCTGAGCCCTGCTCGTCACGGCCCCCAAGCGCAGCCAGACGGCCTCAGCCTGTCTCCTCAGCTGGAAAACGGGGATCGAGGTAACAGCTGCATCTGCCTCGGTGGCCCCCCGCTCTCCTGCTCTGCAGGCTGGGTCTCGCGCCTCCTGCAGTGGCCCCCCCCACCCCGGGACGTTTTATTTGCTCATGACCACGAGTCAGTGTCTGCGCCAGTGACCCCGGCGGGGGCGAGCGGGGGTGCAGGCTTCTGGGCTCTGGGTCTGTGCCGCCGCCAGGCCAGGCGTGTGGGCCGAGGCTGTCTTCCTCCTGCAGTGATTTTCCGAGTCGTGTCTGCCTCCCTGGAACTCCCCTAATCCTTGAGGCCAGGAGGGAAATTTGATGTCATCGTTTGGATGGAGAGCGATGTCTGGAGAGACCCAGAACGGGGCACGGGGGCTTTCCTTGGTGCTGGAGACAAAGGGTTAAAAATGGCGTGGGAGCTCCCTGGTCCCCAGTCTGAGGCAGGGGCCTGAGGAGGGCACCCCAGGCCTGGGGTCCCTTGAGGATAGCTCCTGGGCCTGGGGGGCCCCCAAGGATAGCACCCTGGACCCTGGGGTCCCCAAAGATAGCACCTAGGCCCGGGGGCCCCCAAAGACAGCACCCCCGGGCCTGGGGATCCCCTGAGGACAGCACCCCGGGCCTAGAGATCCCCAAGGACAGAGCCCAAACCTGGGGGACAGGGACACAGCGTGGGCCTGCACAGAGCTTTCAGCCTGCCGAGGGGCAGAAGGTCACACTTTTCTGTGTGCAGAATAAGTCGTTTTCTCCCCTGGTTACCAGGGAAGATGATGCCCAGCACAGAGCCTGGGAGGAAATGCCCAGTGCCTGGGGTGGGTGGGGTGGGTGAGGTGCGGCAGGCTGCCCCCGTGTGCTGTTTGAGGATGTCAGTCCCGGCGGGGGGTCGGCTCAGGCTGCCTGGCTGCGTGTCACCCACGAGCACCCACGGGACCGGCCGGCTTGATTTAGAACAAGCTTGGCGCTGTGGCCGTCTCATGAGTCCAGCAAAGGGAGCCAGAGGCCCGGACAGAAAGGGTGACCTATGACCTCTCCACAAGGACAGCTCTTGGCTGGGGGTACACAGCAGTGCCCAGGCCCCCAGGAGAAAGCCCCTATGGCCCTGGGGGCGGGAGAGGACCGGTGGGGCAGGGCGGCAGCCCGAGCCCCCCGGGGTGGCTTCTGGGGGTGCCTCTCCTTGCCCGGCGGGCGCTCCCTTGCCTGGCCCTGACAGCCCTGCAGGGTCAGTGCTGCCCACTTCAGGGGCCCCGGAGCCTGGACGTGAGTCAGCCGAGCTGCGGCAGGGACACGGGCCCTCCCCGGACGGGGGAGGGGTCTGGGGGCAGCGCAGGGCTGGGGGCCGGCTGCGGGCGTGGCTGACCGGTCACCGTCCTGCAGATGCCCCCCAGCTGATGGAGGCCCCCCGGGACGTCACGGTGGAGCTGGGCAGGAGCGCCCTTCTGGCCTGCCGGGCCACCGGCCGCCCGCCCCCCAAGGTCACCTGGCGCCGTGCAGACGGTCAGCCCCTGGGACCCCGGCCGGGCAGCAGGACCAGGCAGCGTGACTCTGGAATGCTGTTCTTCGAGAGTAAGAGATGGGGGACAGGGCGGGGGCGGGCCCCGCACCCCAGCACTGACCGTGGGCCACGTCCGTCCGAGTCCAGCCCAATCACGCAGCCCTCTGACCTGCCCTGAGAGCGGACGAGCCGCAGCCAGCACCTGGCCTAACCACCGCGCGTGGGGTGATAGTGCCCAGTGTGGCCCCTTCATCGCCGGAGCTGCGCCCCGAGTGTGTGGTGCTGCGGGCACCGTGCTCCCGCTTTTTATTGACCCTCCCAGTCTCACTTTGGGGTGCAGGTGTGGCTCAACCACCCCATTCTGCGGGTGGCCGGGCTGCGCCTCCGGCCCACGAGGCCTGGCCAGCGCCCCCCCGCTGCCCTGCGAGCCTGTTGGCGCCCCAGGGCAGGGCGCCCCGGGGCCAGGCCTGCCTCCCTCCTGCCTCCAGGTGTGTCCCCGGAAGACCAGGCCCCCTACATCTGTGAGGCGCAGAACATCTTCGGGAAGGTCCAGGCAGAGGCCCGGCTCGTCGTGACTGGACACGGTGAGAGGTGGACCGGGGGCGGGGTGGGGGCGCCGCAGGGAGCCGCCGCGGCCACCCTCCTGTCCTTCGGGCCAGGTTCTCCACGAGGGGCAGCTGGTCCCTCGCTGGGCGGCGGGCCCCAGGGGGTGTGCCCTCTGACCTCTCGGCGCCCCAATCTTGGAGTCTGTGTCGGTGCCCTGGGGAGGCGGGGGCAGTGGGGGAGCCCCAGTGATGGCCATGTGACGGACACTCGGCCTCCTCTCCCCAGTGCCCCCCCAGATCGCCAGCAGTGCCGCCACGGTCCGGGTGCTGGAAGGCCAGCCCGTGTCCCTGCCCTGTGTCGTCCTGGCCGGGAGGCCCCTCCCCGAGAGGCGCTGGCTCCGGGCTGGCGGGCCCGTGAGTGGGGGGCCCCTGGGGCGCAGGGAGCAGGAGTGTCCTCGTCCTTCCTTCCCCCTCTCCCCTGCCTTTCCAGAACGTTCTCTAGCAATGTGCCGAGAGCACCTGTCTCCCGGGTTGAATGTGGGTGTGGATGGGAGTCCGCGGGGGGCTTCAGCTCTGGGCTGTGTGCCGGGGCGGGTGGGTTCAGGGGTGCACACAGGGCGAGCTCTAAGTCTGCCTGCCCCCCAATTCTGGCTGTTTCCCTCAGGCTTCCCAAACCCGGGTGCTCTCGATTCCCCGGGGGAGTGTTAAATTATCCCGAGGCCGCACCCTTTCCTGTTAAATCAGAAGGCGGGCGGGCGCAGAGGCCTTGCACTGTCTAACACTGTATTTTGAGTTTTTAAAGGAACAGCCCTCCTCGTTCCTTTTAACTCCTTTCCCGGGGCGGGGGTGGGAGGGTGGGGGTGCTCCCTCCCTGCTGTCCACTGGGCCCAGTGTGCAGGGGTCTAGGCCGCTGTGGGTGGACACCCAGGGGAGGGGTGGGGGCGTGTGGTGTGGCCTTGGGGCCCAGCCCCGTCTGTCCAGCCCGCCCCCTGCTGGCCTCTCCGCGGGCCCAGGGTCCATGCTGGCCTCTGGTCCTCCGCAGCTCCCTCCTGGCGGCCGGCCTGCGGTCCGGGCAGACGGCAGTCTCCACCTTGACCAGGCGCTGCGGGAGGACGCCGGGAGGTACAGCTGCGTGGTCAGCAACTCGGCCGGCTCTCAGCAGCGGGGTGTGTTGCTGGTGGTCCAGGGTGAGTCCCGGCCCGAGGGCCGGGGGCGGTGGGGAGCGGGGAAGGGCCCGGAGACAAACCTGATCTTAGAGACCTTGGGTTTTAAAAGTTGAGATAATAGTAATATTCACAGTAGAAAACTTAGAGCGTAAACGAGTTGAAGAAAACCGCCGTCTCACGGCAGCTTGGAACAGCCAGAAGCGCTGCGTTCGCCCTTCCGCTTCCTGCTCGTGTGAGCGGGCACTCACTGCTCATGGGGCCTCGCGGCTCTACGCGGATATGAGCCTTCTACACACTCCCTCCCGCTGAGCCCCGTGAAACTCCTCACACACCTGCCTTTTGATGTAGCTGCCGTCTACAGCGTCGTCCACACGCAAACACACACGGGCCTGAAAACCGAGCTGGGCCCGCGCGACGCATGCGGAACGAGCCCCGTCGTGTGGACTTCGGGTCTGCGTCTCAGGGTGGCCCCTTGAGGGTTGTTCGGGCATCCTGCCCCCGGCTCCCCCACCCACGGTGCTGCAGACCCCCATTCCCTGCACCCCCGTGCTTGCTCCTAAGGCGAAGTTTCAGCTAAGCTTGGAATTCACGAAGTGAGCTGCTCCCCCTTAGTTTGTGGGTTTAATAAAACCCTGGGGGGATGAGCAGGGGGAAACCAGTTCCCCTTGTGTAGAGAAAACTGCAGGAGGCCGGGCCCGGGCCCAGGCCCGGCTCCTGCCCACCTGCCCGCCGTGGGGGTCGGGTGCACAGCCCTTGCGTGTGGGGGGGAGGGGTGCTGCTCCGTGTTCTCGGGGCTCTTCTAAGAGGTGGGGCTTTCAAAGGTGCCTTGCTCTCACATTCGGGAAGCCGAGGGTCCGCGAGGGGTGTCGGTCACAGGAGGGCGGGACCCGCGAGCCGGCTGCCCTGCGAGGCCTCCCTGACGTCCGGCGCTGCCCGCACAGCCTCTGGCGCCGGTGGGCTGTGCGCGGCCCCTGGCTCGGCTCATTCATGTCCACTCAGCAGATGTCCACAGACTTGCTCCGACTGCCTGGGCGCACCCAGCAGGGTGTTCCGACCCCAGCTCCCACCGGAGCCCTGAGGCGGTACAGGCAGAGCTGGTGGTTCCCGACTCCCCTCACTGCTTCTGCACACCCCGCCCCACCCCGACCCTCCCGGAGGTCCCCGCTGACATCTGAGAGTCTGGAGGATGCTGGGCCCTCGCTTTCCGGCTGGCTGAGAGCTGCGGACACTATTTTCTGCCGTTGCTCATCTGTCCATCCCCAGGGTGGGCAGGCAGTCGGGGCTCATGCGGCTTCCCTGCTCATCAGGGCGTGCGGGCGCCGGAAGACTTGGTGATTCCCCCAAGTCCCAGAGCGCAGGTCCCAGGGCCTGGCCCGGGCGCAGGCTGCCCCCTGCCCGGGGGACGGCTCAGCCCGGGGGTGGCTGTCGGTGCGGTGACCTTTGGATTCTTCTGTAGAATTGTTCTACGCTGAGCACTGCCTAAGCGTGCGGGCCAGCGACGTCAAGTTTGTTCACGTGCTGCCGAGCTTTCCGGCTCCCCCCACTGGAACAGGGCCCCATTCAACACTCACTTCCTCCCCCACCCCCAGCCATCACTCTACTTCCTGCCTGGGATTTGACCCTCTGGGCCCTTCACATCTGACCCTCAGCGTCTGGCTTATTTCACGTAGCATCATAATGCCGCCATGCTACAGGTGTATCACCTTTGCCCTTTTGACCGCCGAGTAGTAGTCCACACTTTGTTGCCCATCATCCATCAGTGGACAGTGGATTGTTTCTCCAGCTACTGTGACTACTGTGGCTGTGAACTTCGGTTGATAAAATTGGTTTGTTTTTCAAAGTGCCACCCAGGATCCAGCCCACTGCCACCTACCATGTCACCAATGAAGGGGTTCCGGTCTCTCTCCCCTGTGTCACCTCAGGTGTCCCCAAACCCACCATCACCTGGACCAAGGTAGGCGGAGCCTGTGGCTGCAGCAGTGCAGGGCAGTGTCCCAGTGCGTCACGGGAGGGGGTGACGCAATCCCTGTGGCTGCGCCCTGCCGAGGTCAGCCATGGCTCTGCCCTAGGAGTCCAGTGTCCTGAGCCCCGGGGGTCCGCACTACAACGTGAGCAAGCACGGCGCGCTGGTCATCACCCAACCTTCTGTCCAGGACGCGGGGACCTATGTCTGCACGGCCACCAACGCCGTGGGCTTCTCCAGCCAGGAGATGCAGCTCTCTGTCAACAGTGCGTGAGGCCGCCGGGTCCTGGAGGCCGCCGGGGCGGGAGGGGGCTCGCCGTGCCCTTCCCGCGCCTCCTGTGCCCCGACCAGCGCCGCCCCGATCCTGCCCGCCCGAAGGGCACGTGCGCCCCAGCTGTCCTCCCCGGGAGCCCTGACCGGGACTGTGGTGCCCACAGTGGTTCCAGCTCGGCCCTTTATAGCCAGATTGGGGGTGGGGGGTGGGGTCACAAGAACAGGCTTGGAAAGACACAGGCCCTCACTGGCCCCGCCCGCCTGGCAGCCCCTTGCCCACCTCTCCTTCCCTCCTCCCCTCCCCACTCTGCACCCCCGGCCAACTTCAGCTTCTACGCAGACGTCCGGCCCCAGGGCCTCTGCACAGGCGGCTTCCTCAGTGTGGAACGCCCTTTCCCTGACCCTCGGCCCAGCCGTCGGGCTGAGCAGTCCCTGACCCCTCCGGTTGGGTCCAGCCCCCTCGCCATCACTTTCTGGAAGCTCCTTCATAGCACCCTGCACACGTGGCTGTGCGGCTCCCCGTGAGCCGTGCGCGCGGAGGGCGCAGGCGGCCGCTCCCCAGCTTCCTCCACGGGCCCGGGCGCTGCCAGCGAGCCAGGCTCTCGCCCTGGATCCCGATAGCCAGTATTTCTGTGTTGCGGTATCTGTATGTCAGGCACGAGATTTCCTCTCTGAGCCAGGGGCTGCAGGGACGCGTGGAGGCCACGTGGGCTGACCCCTTAGCTGCCTTTAGGCTCTGAGTACCGGCTGAGGAGGGGCCTGGGGAGGAGGGATGCCGCGGAGCGCGCTGCCAGCTTAACACCAGAGCAGCGCCCTGTGGATGAGTGGCGAGGGCTGGGGTGTGCTCAGGGTAAGTGGCATGGTGGGGGAGGGGCAGGGGACCTCAGGCACCGCTGGGAAGGGGCAGCGCATGGAGAGGAGCGAGAGGAGCGAGAGGGCGCAGGCTTTGGGACAGACCGGAAGCCACAGCCTCCTGGGTGGGGCCCAGGGCCCCACCCCCACCCCCAACGCCCTCCCGCCCCTGTCCCTCCTGGGCGGGCAGAGCCACCTGCTTCCTGCGTGCTGTCCAGAGGCCGCCCGGATCACGTCCTGCTCGCTTCCGCCAACAGCCAAACCCAGGATCCTGGTGAATGGGTCCCAGGACACAGATGAGCCTCTGAGGGTGGTGGCCAAGGCCGGCGACGAGGTGACCCTGGACTGCGAGGCCCAGGGCTCGCCACCCCCACTGGTCACCTGGACCAAAGACTCCCGCCCGGTACCTCCCATCACCGACAGGTAACCCCATCGGCAGAGCTTGGGGTTTGAGGGACACGGACTCTCGGGGCTGGGGGGCCAGCGGGCCTGAGGGCACGTGGGCGCCTCCCCGGGGTGTGGCCCCAGGCGTGGGGCCCGGCCCACGCTCCCAGTGGCGCGTGCACTTGAGTCCACGCGTGCACGTCTGCCGTGGGCCTGGAAGCTTCGCGGGGGACAGTCGGGGACCGCTGCCGAGGGCGAGGCCCCGAATCACTTCTCGCCCGGCCGCCGCTGGCAGGGTCTCCTCGAGCCACCACAGCCCCGTCCGAGCTGGACAGAGGCCTGCAGCTGGGGTGGCCGCCGTGGTCGCCAGCAGGAGGAGAGCGCGCCCTCGGCTGGGACGTTGTCCCGGGAGGGACGCGCGCTGAGGCCTCACCCGTCGCAGGGCGGGTCGAGGTGGGGGCGGCGTCATCTGACTCAGCTCCCCCCGGACACCGGTGCTGGGAGTGGATGCACGGGGCGGGCAGGCCATGCCCCCGGGCGGGGTGCTAGTTCCAGGCTAGAGAGTGTCCAAAGTCCTGGGACCCTTGGCCCTTGCTGGGGTGGGGACTGCGGCTCTGGCCGGTGACATCAACCCTGGCAAGGTCTTTGAGATGATCCAGACCAGAAAAGTCTGGGAGCGGCTGCCGCGTACCTCGCCCCACCCCCGCCGACACCCCCACATGGGGCTCTCCGTCCCGGAACATCTGTTCCGTGAACCTTCCAGACCCTGGAACCTGCACCCCCAGTGCAGCTGCGGTCCTGTGCCGGGCCGGGCCCGCACGGCCGCCACCCCCAGGCCCCGGGGCTGCTGCCACTCCAGGTGTGGGCAAGGGTGACGGTGGGGGGCCGGGGCCCCCGCAGCGCCCCAGCGAGCCCCGTTCTAGCTGCTGGCTGGGCGGCGGCCAGCGGCTGCTTGTTTATTTACGGCTTGTTACGGAGTCAGGGACCGCAAGTCCCGTTTGTCCACCCCTCCTTGCTGTGACGCGTTAGTGGGTCAGCCGGGAGCCATCGATGTGCCGCTCTGCTTTCGCAAGCGGGGTTCCCGTCCGACCGCCTGCCCCGTCCGCTTCTTGCTGGCTCGCGGCCTCTCCAGGCTGACGAGCTCCCAGGAGCTAATCTAAATGAGGAGGACACTGAGCCGGGGGCCACAGCGGCACATGCTGGACGCTGGTCCCGGGTCGGTGGCCGCGACCCGGACGCCGCTCTCCAGGCCAGGACAGCGGGCCACGCGGGGAGGCCCGAGAGCGGGAAGTGGCCCTGCTGGCGTCGTCCTGCTGCTGTTGGGAGCCGAGGCTCGCGGCCAGCTTGGAAACCACCCTCATCCATCTGTTCCCGCCTTCCAGCTTCGAGCACTTTTAAAGTAGGGAAGCTGTACTGGGAGACGACCCTGACACATGCCTCTGACGTCGGGTGCAGCCGTCACCACCAACCTAGGGCACTTCCGTC